AATTGTTGTGGAAAATTATGATTAAGTTAAGACAAATTGATACCAATTGCTGTGCAAAGTATTGGTGACACTGATTCACCTGTTAAATAGATATTTGAGGATAAGTTGCGCCATAAATTGTTGACCGTACAATAGACCTTTTTCAATGCTCGTCCCTAGTGACATCGTAACAGTGAATCTGTCATTTTTTGTTCGTCTTCCAATAACAAATCCAACTTGGCTCTCTATTTCATCTATTCTCATTTTTTTCTCTGTTTCATCTATTCTCATTTTGGACACCATTATTTGATATAGTGGCTTTAACGATTGACTCATAAGACTAAATATCTTCTGTTGCATTCATCGTCTGTGGTTCCCTGATTTCTGGGTAACGTAATGAATGTAGTACGACCATGTCTCTGGAAATACTTTTAGTGCCATGGATGGCGTTAAACAAGTTGATCAGACTCTCAAATCCACATTCACCAAGTGCTTCATAATAATACAATTTTTGTGCCTTACAAAAGGGCCCATATGTCAGTTAAGTCTATTTCGTATTAGAGGACTACAAAATGGCCGTATCGAGGTCAGTATATTTTTTTGTAAGAAGTATAGTAAGAATAATTATTGAAGATGTGTCACATGAGTAAATCTGAAAAAATGCTCCCTCAAATAACCATACCCGTTTACAGTTGTCAAAATTGACACAAACAGACATGTTTTATATCTTCATACTCTCTATAGAGTCACAATCATGAACACAATTATTACAAGTGTTGTCATCTCTTTACCATGCAGTGCGTATGCTTTAAGTTGTTTATAATATTCCAATGGCATTAGTTACGTGTATAGAGGGTACGTTCTGCTGAACATCAGGCTAGCATCAAATTTGACCTTAATTCTCTGGTATTCACATCAGTTTTTGCTATTATTATTATTTTTATTATTATTATTATTATTATCATTATTATTATTATTATTATTATTATTATTATTATTATTATCATTGTTATTATTATTATTATTTTTATTATTATTATTATTATTACTAGCAGATGAGCCCGTTCTTAATGAAAAAAAAAAAAAATAAACAAACAAAAACAAACGAACGAACACTCAGGGCAAAGCTTTTTCGGTGACAATCTCTCTCAGACATTAAAACATTTCAAACGACTTGGACAGGTTTTACGGGCTTCGGTAACTAACTACGGTATTGAGCTGAGATATTAGATCTAGCCTAGATCTATCATCTAATAATAAGATCCACAGAAACACAATATGGTCTTACTTTATTAAACTTACTTTACTTAAGAAATTAAAACTTTCTAAAACATGATCTTACGATCCTGATAGAGGTAGATCTAGATCTATCCTTACTTTACTCGATAACTAAGGTGTATTGAGCAGTCGAATTCGTTCGCCTCGCGGTCAAGTGGTTGAGATATTAGATCTAGATCTAGATTTAGATCCATCATCTAAGAATAAGATCTGCCGAAGCAAAATATGATCCACTCTTACTTTACTTAAAACATTATTAAATGATTTTACGATCCTGGTAGAAGTAGATCCAACCTTACTTTACCATGCCAACTGGCAATGATAAGCCAAGCGTCACCGGACGGAAGTAGTCGGAACAAAGGTGAAGTGTTCTTTTCGATTTCTTTGAATTAATAATTATTCAGTTTTTGGTTATTTGCAACAAAACGGCAGGTTTTTCCAACCCCCCCCCCCCCCAACAACTATCCCATGCAAATCCTCTCCTAATTTACATCTGCATAGAAAATTTCGCAATTGTCTGTTGTGTGTTTTTGTAGTCTATACGATCCAAATGTTTTGGGCCAAGCTCCATAATAATAATAATAATAATAATAATAATAATGATAATAATAATAATAATAATAATAATAATAATAATAATAATAATAATAATAATAATAATATGATGATGATGATGATGATGATGATGATGATGATGATGATGATGATGATGATGATGATGATGATGATGATGATTATTTTGTACACCTTTAACGCTATACTGTGCTTTCGTTGATGTTTTGGTACAACGTTAAGGTGTGTCACTGTTGCACGCAGAAGACCCGAGTTTGATTCCTGAGTGAGGACAATTTATATCGCGTCCGACCTTTTTGCTGGGATGCTGCATCCTTCTCAGCCCGGGTTGACCCAGGCAGGAGGTGTCGAAAGCCCGCCTTCTAAATGATCTAACTTGTTTTAAAGGGGCTGTTAAAAACCGAAACTAGTAAATCGAGGAGTAATGGTAATTTGTGTTTGAGTTAAGAGAAAACAGTCATTTAACTTTAAATCTGTAATCTTCCTATTACTAGAACTATTAACCTACTCATGCGTCTACCTACTTAGGTCCTGCAAAGCATTTTCTTGGCCTGATAGAATAGGATAAAACTAACAAGGTCACTTAAGCAGAAAACGTGCCCACCCTTTCGGAGTTCACCGAATACAATAAATGTCGTTCCTACAGATGTGCCCACGTCCCTCGTGACGTATTGGAACGGATGTAGATGGTGCTAGGACAAAGGTTCACACACATGAAATATTAGAATTAATCCGTCAGTGCGTGAATGACTGCGCTTGCAATGTACTTCTTTACATAAGCATCAATTCACAATAATATCATTCCGATTATCCCCATCATCTTTAAAGTCACCATTGTTTTTATCTCCAAGACATCCATATATCTCTTCTAATCTCGATTCTGAACAGTTCTGTTGTCGTCATAGATGCCAGTACATGTGTAATTGTGAAGTGGGAACATATTATAATTTTTATGTTTGTAATTAGATAACGTAATCTAATTTGATATCATTCAGATTGCGTCAATTTGGTAGGAAGAGGCAAGGGGAAGAAAATAATCAAAAACAAGCAAACAAAAATCCCAAACGTCAAACCCCCCCCCCCCTAAACCAAACTGTAAAACAAAAGGAAATCACCCCTCCCCTCAAACAACCCAACCACACACACACACACACACACACACACACACACACACACACACACACACACAGAGAGAGAGAGAGAGAGAGAGAGAGAGAGAGAGAGAGAGAGAGAGAGAGAGATACTTAGTCTAACTTAAATCCGTTTTTCTCAAAGACTTATTTTCATATCGTGTCTAACAAAGCCTCATATATTTCAATAAGTACGTAATAATGATCATGATTATTTAAAGTACTTATGGCGATATAGGTATCACACATCACCATGGCCATTCAGAGTAAGATATAAAGAGACATCGGCGGCTACGGTTCTCCGTTTAGGGTTTCTCCGCTCGGACGCCCTCACTCAAACATCTCCTTTTATGGTATTTTCCGGTAAATCATCTGTTCAGGTTTACCAAATAAGTTTGTATTACTTGTTTTCCGTCTATTTTGTAACCAGTGAGAGCAAGATGTTCAAAGCCTTTATATCGAGTTATGTGTCCTAGAAACTACAAAATGTATCATCCTTTTCTGAGAGTTCAGACGCAGTGGGTACGTCGTTGGTGCAGCTCTGTTCCAGCGATAAAATAGGTTTGGGTTGGAACCTGTCTGCGTCAAATAAAAACAAACAACCCCCCCCCCCAAACAAACAAAAACAAAACAACAACAACAACACACACACACAAAAACGGTCGACAACCGTTCGAACACAGCACAGTTTTCTTTCTTTCTTTCTTTTTAATGAATAGTCACAGATAACACATGTAGTGCAAATCAAACCAATGGCAAGCATACTAGCTTGTGCTGTTGGTGGGTGGTTGGCGGATGCTCTTATGTGGTTAGCTCCTTCTTTCTTATCAAGCATCTGTCATCCTTATCTCTTCTCCTTTACTTTTGTACTTGTTACTCTCAGGTAACACGTCCTCTAAACCTTCGCACTTATACTTATAATTAATTGCTTCAAGGTGTTGCGAGTGACGCAAAAAGCAAAACAAAACAAAACAAAATAACTTACTAAAACTAACCAGTGCTGTTGTGTTACTTGCAATGGTATCAGTACGCGAACGTTTCATGGTACTGTGTTCGCCAAATTCGCGGAAAGAGAAAAACATTATCTGAAGAGTTCCATCATCTTGTTGAAGTTCTGATTGTTTAAAAAAACCTAGACAGAGTAGGTAAAGAAAGTCTTGACTGATTTTCAGACAAAAATTATAAATGAAAAATTAAAAGAAAAATGTTTTTTAAATTAATCGGTTCAACGTCATTTTAAAGCTTGTTCATCTGTCTTGTTTTTGATTTTTAAAAATGTTTATCTTGATCAGAGGAGGTGTCCTGTGTTGTCGAAGAATAGTTCTTAGATTGTTATGACCTTTTTTATGACTTCTGTTTTGTCCATTAGTATAATGTGTCTATCTTTGGATTTTTTACAGCCACTTGTAGAAAATGAGTTTGCAATGGGTGTAATAACTATCTTTTTTTTCTTCTGGTATATTGTCTATTCTTTTTCACACCGCTCATTAATTACCCAGACCTCTTTCGTTTCATTGCAATTTTTAATTTTAAAAAGAACTAGCTGGGACCCCTTTCGATAAAGGAATGATCGATGCATTAACATCAACTGAAAGTCATTGACTTACTATATTTACACTCTACAGGAATGAAGCAATAAATCTTGAGAGAAAAGTGACACATGTGTTTCTAAGTTGCCAAATATATTATACGACTTGAAATAAACAAACCTGGCGGATTTTCAAAAATTACAGAGACAGAAGCGTGTTGATTGTTCCCAGTAACAAGAAAAAGAATTTGAAATAGGAGTCCAGAAAAAACGATGATGAGCATCAAAAGAAAGGATCACAGTCGAATTTAGCACCAAGTCAAAAAGAAAACATGAGGCTAGATCTGTATTGGCCGCACACTTAAAAAAGTGCTCAGTATTGCGCGACAACGCGCGATAGTATCGAACGGAAGTATGACTTGAAATAAACAAATCTAGCGGATTTTCTAAAATAGAGACAGAAGCGTGGGCCTACAAAAGCGATCGGCGAAATAAAGAAATTTAGCCTTTTGCCAAGGACTACTATACTCAAGGACGTGCACCGTCGGATTCCTGACTTGGCTAGCGAAGGCCATCATATAAACATGTCCAACTTATCACTAGGCACAAGATACATTTCATATTGAGTGTGAGAAAGCTAAAACATGTTGTAATGTTGTTCAACGCAATATTGTAGTATAGTAATACATGTTATTTCTATATTTTTGTTATGTCATGCAGAAATATTAGCATGAAGAGCATTTTAAAAATGTTAACGAATACAACAAGAAGAATTAGGCTTATTCACCAAGTCAATCCGCCATGCGTGCCTTCTTGATGGATGTCTGTAGCAGGGCTGCTTTCTTTTGGTGATATTTCTCTAGATTGTGCAGACCGCGGAGTAAGACACTTGCGAGATGACGGAGCAGTTTCTTGGACTGAACGATGTCGAAGTCGGGAAATTCCCCCATGGTTGATAGAATTCCAACAAGTCTCTGACGACAATAAACTCTATTTTTTGCTTTCTTTA